CCACAATAGATACATTCTAATAATAGTTTATCTAACTAAACATTTTACAACCATATATACCTAAGTATATATATTGAAAAAATGTATACAGTTAGTAAAATAAGAGATATTTGACACTTTGATAAGTATTTCAAAATTATTCAAATAAATATTAAAAGTAGGTATTATATAATATTTCAGATAATACTTGTATAAATTGATACAAAATGATTAGTCAGAATATTAAGTTATAAACTTATATACTTTAATTATTGAACATTTATTATACTGCATACCTATTATATTGAAATAAAATCAAGATTAGGTAATTATTGTAAATTGGGTTAACAGATTTTATCGAGGTTTTTATGTACTTAGTAGTTAGTACTTACAACCAATTTTATATCGTTTGAAGATATTAACGAACATAAAATAGTTAATCCTAGACCACACATTCAACACTGATATAATATAGCAAAGTAAAACTTTCGGTCTTAGACATTTTTTCCACTATTGAGCAGGTTGAGTACTTGAAATTGTAGTTTATTTCCAAAAAAAATTCTACCATTTAGAGGTGTCTATTAGAAAGTAAATGTCACTATCATAATATTTGATAATTTTTAATAGGATGTATCCTATTATAGGATTATAAGTAAATACCTACCAATTATTTTTTTATTTACCAAATTAAAATTTATTTTTTCATACTAAGTWTATAGGTACCAAACTAAAATCTACATTTTACAATATCTATAACAAGCATATTTAATCACTTTATTGTTAGGAATTAAGTATTTTTAACTTATGATATAAAATATAGCTTAATATATAATTATCAAACACTTTAGATAAAACTCTGCCTATACATTTTTCATGAGATACCTATTTAAATATTTAATACATAGGAGGATGTATCAATTGGCTTTAATTATCTTAATAAATATCAAATTAATTGGTTAGTGTCAATATATTGATGGATTACCTACTTTACAAGCTACTTTACTAAGTTACCTAGCTACATATTGTTAAATACTGTTAGTTTTTATAATTATTTACCTCGTTATTTACTTACACAATTCTTTTTGTTGTTAGGTATGCAATCACCAATTACAAACTAAATACATACTAATATATCTACCAACCTGACACCTGAGTACCTACTTTTTGATATTAAAAAAAAAAAATTTCATTAAATTTTTTGAAATTTATTACAGGGCCTACAGTATACCTACCTAATAACATTTTACAAGAAAAATATAATTATTTAATATCTATAATGTAAGTATCTGCATTTTGTAATGACTGTCAAAGAAAAATTAAGTACCTATATCAATAATAATCAACGATAATCAATGACACAATATATGGTGTTCAAAAACATTTTACTTATGACATGCACAAAATACTAATAATAAAAATGTTACTCTTATAGGAGATCAGACTTCAATTTGATCTGGTAAGTATTGTTATATTAAATTGATACCTAACTAGTAACTATATATATATATTTATATCATAGGTATATAGACTAGTAAACCTACCTACTAAAATGAAATTAAGTTCATAAAACATTTGTAAAAATTAAATTTTATAGTAAAAAAGTTGGGCATTTCATTCCAATTAGTAGTTATAAGGAATCAAGAAATATGGTAAGGCACACTTTTCTAAAAGCATAGGTCACAACGTATAAAAGCACAAGAGATATTTCACCTTCAGAAGTAGTGTCTAACATGAAATTGTATGATAAGGTAAATATAAATTCTAGTGTGTATCACATTAAGTCACTAAGACGACATAATACACGCCTATATTGTCTCAATCTTTCAAACATTTYACATGGCATATTTTACATTCAGAATAATCCATTTTACCAACCTACTACCTWTGTAATTTTTAACATTAAACTGATTTGATCAATTATTAAATTTTTAGGTAAAAATCTAGGTAAAAACATTATCAAATGACCCACTAGGCTTGTTTGATATTTTTATCTTAAAAAACTTTTAGCATTTTTAATTTACAAGATAAAATATTACAATTGAAATAAAATGCTTATTAATTRCATAAATTGCTTAAAAAATAATCTTAGCATGAATTTCCTATCTTTAAATGGTGTAATAGATAAACCAATTAACTCTAGGTAATATGTATTRRGAATAACAGAGTTATATGGATTCTTCTGAATATAAAATTTGCTATGCTATAGGTAAATAAGATTATAAGTAAAAATAAGGGTATGATTAACGTGACCATACGTCTCGCTTTGGGCGGGACAGTCCCGCTTTCGAGATAAGTGTCCCGCCGTCCCCAAAGAACCTAAAAATGTCCCGTTCTAAGAAAAGTCGACATGTGGTAGGTATTAATTATTGATCACATATCACAATCATACATTTATACTGTATCTAGGGGCGTCATTTCARATTTATTTCGRGTGTGCGAAGTTTCAAGCAGGCCATTTTGAAATTTCACCAGGCCATATAAAAATAKATATACATAAGTATATGTATATTATCCTGCATTAAATTATTTCCATACATTATAGACCGGTTATTACAATTTGATTTTAATCATATAAATAATTGTGCATTCGTGGCTCRTGCATTATTTTAGGCTTCAGCAAGGCGCAGGCCAATWGTAACATTTTAAAAGTAAGKGGTGCAACCGMACACCCTGCCACCCCCCAAATGACGCTCCTGACTGTATCTTTACAGTTAACAGTATATGACGTATACCTACATATTTTATATAAACTGTGAAACACTAAAATCCATAATTGTTGGGAGACTATTATGATTAATATAATATTCGCATTTTTCATATAAACAATTAATGTTTTTTATTCAATAAAAAAAATTGTTATTTTACGCAAAATTATATGGTTTTCTTATTAAAATGTACAGGTGTCCCGCTTTGAAGGAAAAAAATTATGGTCACATTAGGTATGATGTCAAATTAAAGATGAAGTAAAATAAAAGTATAGAAAACTTTRTTTATTTGTCCTGAAACAGAAGTATCTATTAGTATAACCAACTTATATACCAAAACCATATAGGTATAATTGTAAATTGAGTATAAAATATCTCAAAAATGAAAAAAGTACTTCCAAAGTAATATTGGTGAAACACATTTGACATYTGTCAAAATAAGTAAGACACAATGTTAATATCTATAATCGAAAAGCCATACAATTAAGCAATTATTAAAGTTATAGGATGTACTTAGAAACCTATATCCTACTGTAGTACCTACTTATATTTAAAATTAGTGTTGAATAAAATGTCCACCTATTGCATTCAATATTTCTAGGTATCTTATTCATTTCATAAGTTTTAATTTTTTTTTTTGTCCTAAGAACAGTATAATTTAATATATAAATACTTATAATAATGTGATAATATGGGTTAGCAAATGACGTGTTACATGGACTTAAACCAATTCTGAACTTTAGCAATAATACCCCGCATCTTACCATAGATATTCTATTATCTATGGATCATACAGTGTTCTTAACATCATGCTTACAACCTCTACATGGCATTATTGACAATATTGATTAAAAATATGTTTGTYAAATAGGTACCCCATGTGATATTAAACTTTGATCAAGATTAAATATTTGGGTATCAAATTATTTTAGTATACCTATTATTTTTAATGGACTTTATTTGAGTTTACTATCATTTGGTCTTTTTTTTTACATTTAGAGYGAGATTTAGAGGTACATGATTGAGTATGTTCATAATAATTTTGGTCGGAATTATACTTGAATGAGTGGGTTATTTAGCACATTTTATGAGAGAAAAATAGAAATACTTTTCGAGARTATTTTATACAACAATGCTAATCTCAGAGATCGGCGCCGCAGCYGCCACAACGCGGGCAACGCACCACTACGATGCGATTGTTTTCGCACGTCGTGAGCGGTTCTCAAGACCTTTCTCTCGGCGGGGAACACGAAAACTGCCAGCAGGGGCAGGACGCTRGAACTACAAAAAAAAATAAATTCATCCTCAAACCCAAACATCCGCCTGCCTAGCTGCCCGACCTACGAGAACGACAACAATATTGATAATGGTTGAACAAGGGTTGTCAACGTACCTCGTGCCCGGAGAACGGCATGGCGCGTCCGTAGTATCAAGACATGGCGGCCGCGGAAAACGGACGGACGGATGTTTTCACGGCAGACTTCTCTTCTCTAGAATTTGGGGGTCGTCGGAGAGTGACAACAGCGTCGGTTTCCGGCGATTATCTTCGTAATTAATATCGCCGTTGCGTCCGGCAGCATCGCATTCGCGCGCACAAGAACGAACCGATCTAATCGACGACGGCGGCGGTGACCCGTTCACGTACGTTTAATGAACACCGGCGAGTAGCGGCTGTGGCACGTTCGAAACGACACGAAACGACGACGGAGTCGTCATCTCAACACTTTCCCCGAGAAGCAGACCATATTGTTTCACGGCGCACGACAACACAAAAACACAACGTATCGGCGAAAAAACRATAAACACGACACGCAYACGGCTGTGACAAAAAATAAAATTTACACAAGTATTACTTAATTACTATATCAACGCGGAATATTATTAYTATTACTAGTATATAAATGCGAACCGGAACGATCTATCGGTGGTAAAACAATCGAACTAAAATAATAACAATCATAAAAAATTAATTTGCTGTACAGCCGAACGCGCGGCGTATGTGCAACAACAACAATATTATTGAATAGACTGAAGGAGTCGAATTACCGGAGGCGGATAACGCACACAAACTGACGCACGCACAGGCACAGCGCTGTTTCACGAGMGCGCGCACACAAAAACACACGGGCAAACGTTACGGCGGCGGCCGGATTCTACGAACGAAAAAACACGGTCGCGCTCACACGCACACGAACCCGCGCGCACACAAACACACACACACACAACACACACTCGGATAGTATACCAGTCGACTGTGCTCCGGCGGGCCCGCACTGTCAGCGCCCACAAATTTCTCAGCTTTATCGACCAGTCGGCGGCGCTGTTGCAACCGGCAACCGCCGCCGCCGCTTGCCCCACCGCGTCGCCCCCCACCCACATTCGTTCGACGTACCCGGCACCACATTCTTTCTTTATTTTTTTTACGCATCCACACTGTATATTATACACGCGCTCCTTCTCCGTTGCACCGCCCGTCTTTTTTCTCGCCGGTGTCTCGCTCCCGCACGCGGCCCATCTCACCGTCTGTCCCTCTCGCTTGCCGCTCGGCTGCTCGTTCGGTCTTCCTGGTCTCCGCCGCCGCCGCGGACGTCCCTTTTTGCACGCGGGCAACAGGTTAAAACGTGCACAGACTCGCGCACAGCAGCGGACGCGCTGCTTACATGGTTTCCAGACAACCGCCGCTGTCGTTATACGCGACCGTCAGGTACCTAAACGAAATACTTACGGGCGTGGAACTAAGGGTGGCGAGAGGGGGGGGGCGAGAAGGAAATTACGATATTTATATTATATCATATTTTCCGATTTATTGTTTTGTGTGGCAATTCCATTCTGTATAGCTCGATTTCTTTTCGTTTTCGCAGAAAAATGTCGACGTTCGCCGGTCACGTGGACAGACACAGAGGCGTCGTCGTCAAATCCACCATAGCCGCCACGGAACAAGAGAAACCGGCGGAATTCGGTCCCAAGCTTGCGAGTAATTTTTTGCATTTTTTTTTTCTATAGATTGTTTCAAGGACGCCGCGTCGCGTCCGTACCACCGCCATTGGTTCCCAAACGCGATCGCAGCCCTCTWTATTATTTATTATATACATTATAGTGATAGTGGGTTATACGTCCGGTTCAAATCGTWTTGGCGGCACGTAAGCTACAGACGCTACGTAATCGCGAGTCCGCGACTACTGACGATGCTGACCGTTCTCGAACCGGCACGCGCGTAACCATTATTCGCAGACGACGCCGCGACGGCCGTTATTCTTGCCGGGAAATCGTCATGGTCGAACGTGACGTGTGTGTATGAGTGTGTGACGTGTGTGTCAAAGTCAAAACGGTCGTGTAACTCGTGTTGCCCTCGTCGTTGTCGGGCTCRCGGCATGGTCGCCGTCTCGCCGGCGACGGACGACGAACCGGTTCGGTTGGTGGCACCGCGAGTACCCGAGAAACGGCATCAGTGGCGGCGCCCGCGCGCTCGTCATCTCTCGCCAGTCTCTCTGCACTCACACACATACACGTATAGGAAATAATAATTATTCATAGTATTGTACAATTGTACAATTTGTACATACAGGGTGTTTAACCGTGTTAGTCCCGTTGCAATGAACATTTTTCTGTTGGATATTTTTAAAATATGACTTTGGTGTTTTGAAAATCGTTATTTTGTCGAAGATTCACGTTAGTTATACATTTGGATACAATAGTTGTATATTTTCAAATATTTTGTTTTATGTTTCATAAAAATATAAGATGGCCCATGAGTCACTTTATAGAGTTATAACTTATAATTATGCATGTATTTTAGGTATCGAATAACCAAATTTCCATCAAGATTATAAATAGTTAAATATTTAAGTTTTAAAATTTGGATTTGAAGACTAACATGATGGTACACCCAGTACATATTATTGTAACTACGCTTCCCGACCCGGCCGAGATGCTGTGCGTGTGTGTTTCGACGAAGACCGTCTTTGATGCGTACAATTATACATATACCTATACTTCGCCCGCACACCATATGGTTCAAAAGTCACTCATAATTCGTGTTTTTTTTTATTCCTAACTGTGTTTTTTCCTCTTGGATTCGTAAAGATGTCAAAATATTAAAAATCGGTAACATAAACGTCCGGAAATTATTAATTCTGATGACCCTTGATAAATTTTTACCAACACGTGTCCATTAAAATGGCATTCCGCAATATCGTGGCATTACCAGATTACCTATACATATATTATATAGCGACTGCCAGCTGTAGCGTATTATAACTTTTAAGTTATTATAAGGTATGCAGATGTTCAATATTATCGTCGCGCGTTATACCTGAAATGGTTATTAAACCGTAATGATTTTTTTCCCTAGAGGAATTCGTTATAATAATATCGAAATCGCCATGGACTAAAAAACTAGTTTTCTCTTTTTACGCACAGAGAAAAAATGTAAAAATTTATGTTAGGAAAGGTACCAATACCAACTATTTGTAATAAGCTCAAATATGCCCGGCAGTGGCTATTTAATAATTTAAATTATCTAAATTTATCCCATTTATTTTTTATGTACTTATGCGTTATGCTTACAATTGTGTTCTGTCAAGAAACTGTGTACGATATTAATCTTATAGTAAGGAATATGGTATAAGTAATGATATAGTAATATGTATGTTGACTGTTAAGTTTTGACTAACATCAAGCTGTTATTTGTCATAATATATAGTGATGGAATTAAAAATACGTTATACCTATTACACAAAATATGTAATATAATATAAATTATCTATCAAAACTATATTATATCTAATACTCTAATGTACCAACTACTATATACTTATATCTAATACTCTAATGTACCAATTACTATATACTTATATCCACTTATATTAATATCAATTCTAGAATATGTAGTTACTAGGTTCATGTA